ATTTAATTTTATAGAATTTTACACCATGTTTGGGACTCACAACATGGTGTAAAAGTCCCAAGCATGGCATAAAACCCAATAAATTCACACCTCAATAGAGTATGACTGACAAAAATAGTACACTTTAGAGCATCTCCAATCCTTAACTATCTTCAATTGCAAACAAAAAAGTATCACACCTGGTAATGCCCTATTATCAACTAAAAGGAAACAAATAAATTAGCACATCTGCCAATATCTTGTTGTCAATTAAAAGGAAATTAAAAAATTAGCACACCCGCCAGTGCCATGCTATCATTTACAAGCAAACAAATATCATTTTGCACATATGCTTTCACATTAACAAACCACATAAGCAATACAGGAGATGAAACTTTTAATACATTTGTTTGAATTATCAATAACCATTACGTAAAGACTTAGAGTAATGTACCAAAACTAACCCTTCGAGCAATTAAAATAAATAAATAAAAAGAGCCAATAGTTAGGGAGAATATTATATGCAAAACTTAAGGGGTAGCATATTGAAACAGGTTCTTTTTTCTCATGGATTTTTCAAAACGTGAATGGATATAACTCTTGAGTCTAGCCATTAGTGTGGAAACTTACATCAAAGTGGGGCACATAAGCTCTAAGTCTCAAGCAATTTTGGTATGGATTTTTATGCACAAGTCAAAACATTTAGATACCAAATAATCAATCTTGACAAAGCTCACATTCTTTATCGTTTTACTTGTTGGTTCAACCATTTAATAATTTATAGAAATACATAACACAAATATTCTCTCTTTTATTCTTTGTTTTTAAAAGTTTGATACATATTCCTTCTTGATTTTTCCTTCTTTTTTTTTCTTTTTTTTGATTTTGGTCACCAGAGTGTTAGGCCTTACTCGGACTAATTTCTTAGGTACATATCATGTAATTATCAGGCCAAAATATTGGGAGTAGATCATCACCACCTTGCATAGTTTGGACTTGTATCTTTTAGCAATAGTGAAGAGAGAGATGGTGCAGAGTGGAGATGCGGAGGGACTAGAGGAGTTTGGGGGGTTTTGATGGCTTGGGTTTGGGTTGATTAGGGTGTTAGGTTGGGTGGGGTTGGAAGGGGCTTGTGTAGTAGAGATAGACGAGAGTAGCATGAGAAAGTGATGGAAATGGGTGGGGAGGGGTTTCAAGTGGTGGAGGAAGGAAGGGACAGGTGGGTGAGGGGTTGGTGGTGGCAGGCAAGGTGTTGGGGTTGGTCAAAGATGGAGGAAATTGGTTGTATGGGACTCAGTGACCAAATTTCCAAAGCAAAGGGAAGGAAAAAGGAAGAAGAGAATGATATTTTGGTAAATCAAATAGGCAATTGCCACCTCTTTATATTTACTTTTCATCTTCTCATTTTAGTTGTAATTATAAAAAAATTTCTCATTGATTTATTAATTGTAGCCCTAATATCCTTGGGATGTAGTTCCCCAAATTGAAATTACTAAATTACACTATCCTGATGATATTCGTCCCTCCTCTTAAGCATATGTATATAAACAATCCAACTGAAATCAATCATCTAAGATACTTGTCCCAAAAAATATAGCATTTATAAGGTAAATTTTACAAGTATATAATATACATATATAAAGGAAATGCTACTATGCAGATCCCTTATCATAAGAACGTTACTCAAAAAACAAAGTACAATTTGTTAGGCCAAAATTAACCAAGTGTAAAAAGCTACATGTTTAGATAGGAAATCAAAAGTGACAAAATAGTGAAAAAAACATTCTTTGTTTTTTACAAGAAACATTTATGTATATTTTACAAGAAATTGAAAAGATGGAAATGGGTGGGGAGGGGTTTCAAGTGGTGGAGGAAGGAAGGGACAGGTGGGTGAGGGGTTGGTGGTGGCAGGCAAGGTGTTGGGGTTGGTCAAAGATGGAGGAAATTGGTTGTATGGGACTCAGTGACCAAATTTCCAAAGCAAAGGGAATGAAAAAGGAAGAAGAGAATGATATTTTGGTAAATCAAATAGGCGATTGCCACCTCTTTATATTTACTTTTCATCTTCTCATTTTAGTTGTAATTATAAAAAAATTTCTCATTGATTTATTAATTGTAGCCCTAATATCCTTGGGATGTAGTTCCCCAAATTGAAATTACTAAATTACACTATCCTGATGATATTCGTCCCTCCTCTTAAGCATATATATATAAACAATCCAACTGAAATCAATCATCTAAGATACTTGTCCCAAAAAATATGGCATTTATAAGATAAATTTTACAAGTATATAATATACATATATAAAGGAAATGCTACTATGCACATCCCTTATCATAAGAACGTTACTCAAAAAACAAAGTACAATTCGTTAGGCCAAAATTAACCAAGTGTAAAAAGCTACATGTTTAGATAGGAAATCAAAAGTGACAAAATAGTGAAAAAAACATTCTTTGTTTTTTACAAGAAACATTTATGTATATTTTACAAGAAATTGAAAACAACTTACCATGTTGCTATGGATTGTATACAAAATTTGACAATCTTACATTTTCTAACATTATCATGATAAATTTATCATGCAAACAAACATGGGAAGAAAAATTCAAAATTTTTCCTTTCTCACACTACCCACTACTTCAATTCTAAAGTTTCGCACTAATCTTTCATGGTTGCTAGGAAAGCCTCCACGCTTAGAGGGAAAATAATAAGTCAAGGATTCTCTTAGCATCAATATACTTTCGAAAAAGGATGTGGAAATTCATTTTATTAAGCATAAGCTTCATGTCAACTACCTTTTAGCTAAAATTTAAAATCATATACTTCAATTCTTTTTAGCTTTTCAAAGTTGTTTTGTTGGTTAGAGTCACTTTCTCGTTATCTTGTCAACTGCTCATGCTTAAAGAAGGATACAAGTGAAGTTCAAACACTATTTTGATTAGCATTTTTGGAAGTATTTCTATTGTATGTGAACTACGTTTGCTTTTCAATAAATATATATATATATATATATTTAAAAACCAATCAAACAAAAGATTTAATTCAGATGGCTATTTAATTCAAGTAGAACAATAAGTACTACACATTACCAAAAACACTTGGAATAACTATTTGCCTTAACTTACAAATTGAGAGGTCCCAACCACAAGTTATAGCTGCTTCATGTGAATATCACTAAATATGTTTTGGGATAAATCTTCGGAGAACATGTTAAATCAATCAAAAGTTTTTAACAACATCTAAATGCAATGAAAATATAGTTCCAAAATACTTTTGTTTAAATTGCTAACAAACTAGGCATTTTTACAAACATCTTAAATGCAATCAACATTCAAATAACATAATTAGCACTATAATTTTAATGCCAAAATAAGATGAAATATTTTGCAACAAATCAAGAACAAGTCATGGAAGCAACAAAATAGTTACAAAACACTATATCAATTAATGTAAAAAAAAGGATTATTTCATTACAAATGTCAACCGAGATATATAAATAGCAAAGTAGAATAAAATCCTCACAAAGCCTTGCTTCATTCGTACAAATTTTGAATCAATGTGAGCCAGGGGAGACTGGAATACAAATTCAGAGAGAGAAAACAGAGTAAAAATGGGGAAGAAGAGAGTTTTAGAAGAGGAAGGGTTTCAAAAATAATCAGAGAGAGGCATACCTTGTTGATTGCTCTTCCAAAAAAAATTCTTTATTTTCTTAGAAACCAAAAAGAGGCTCACCGGGTTAGATTAGGGTTTTAAACCGAACAACCACTTCGGCCTGCATTCAGTCAAGCCAGAGAAAGAGAGAGGAATGAGCGCAGTAGAGAGAGGAGAGCGAGAGGAGCAGGGGAAGAGATAGAAGGAAAGTGTAGCAGAGAGAGAGAGATGGGGGGCGACAGAGAGACACACGAAAGTGAAAGTAGAGAGAATACACTATGGAAGAAGAGAGAATACAGATGGTCAACCGGTTGCTCCGGTGTCTAATTTTTCAAAATTAAATAATTCAATGGTCAAGATCAACTTGTGTAATCTGATGGCCAATAATAAAGGTGCATATGGTGTGCAACCCTTTAAGGGTTGCACACTACAACACGACCCTACATATATATATATATATATCTATATAACAATGGAAGGCTTGGTTTGAATTTAAGAGCTCAAAATGTATATGTGTCAGCATATGGACCATTAGATTGATTCAATCCAATGGCTGATAATGTCTTACACTCATTTGTTCTATTTAAACATTTTAATGGTTGAGATCAATTACCATCAAGATCTAATGGTGCAAAATGTAAGTTTCAAAATATCTCAAAATGTATCTCTCACACCTACTCCTCTCATCTCAAAATCTGTCTCTCTCTTCCAAATTAAAATTTGAACAGACCCCTCTCTCTCTCTCTCTCTCTCTCTCTCTCTCTCCATGGGAGCCCATTCCCATGCTCTTCTTCAATTCCTATTGGAGCCCAACAATTGCTGGAGACACAACCCCGAACCCCCTATTACCCTCTTCGTCTTCTCTCTTCCTCCCTCTCTCTCTCCACCATCCCAATCTTCATCAACAGTGGCAACGACGACCGAATGAATGGAGCCACTGCAAAATGAAGAATCTAAAAGAAGAATCTGGTATATTTGACCTATCATGGTATATTTCCAGCAAGAGAGCAAACCAGAAATTGGTAGATCTAAATGCATTGTCTAACCATTCTTTACTCTGTTTATAAATAATAAAAAGTTGTGGAGTTCAACCATTCTTTACTCTGGTTATGAATTAGGTTTACTGGGATACCTGATTATAAAATAAAAAAAAAATAAAAAAAAAGTTTGTGGAATTCTACCATTGTTTACTCTGTTTATGTATTAAGTTTACATGACATTCGCTGGATTTATTCCTAATGATGCAAAATGTAAGTTTCAAAATATCTCAAAATGTATCTCTCACACCTACTCCTCTCATCTCAAAATCTGTCTCTCTTCCAAATTTCATAATTTGAACAGACCCCTCTCTCTCTCTCTCTCTCTCTCTCTCTCTCTCTCTCTCTCTCTCTCTCTCTCCATTGGAGCCCATTCCCATGCTCTTCTTCAATTTCTATCGGAGCAAAACAATTGTCGGAGACACAACCCCGAACCCCCTATTACCCTCTTCGTCTTCTCTCTTCCTCCATTTCTCTCTCCACCATCCCAATCTTCATCAACAGTGGCAACGACGACCGAATGAATGGAGCCACTGCAAAATGAAGAATCTAAAAGAAGAATCTGGTATATTTGACCTATCATGGTATATTTCCAGCAAGAGAGCAAACCAGAAATTGGTAGATCTAAATGCATTGTCTAACCATTCTTTACTCTGTTTATAAATAATAAAAAGTTGTGGAGTTCAACCATTCTTTACTCTGGTTATGAATTAGGTTTACTGGGATACCTGATTATAAAATAAAAAAAATAAAAAAAAGAAGTTTGTGGAATTCTACCATTGTTTACTCTGTTTATGTATTAAGTTTACATGACATTCGCTGGATTTATTCCTTACCTAAAGTTGTATCTGAGTGATTTCTATTTAAGAGATGACTGGATCACAGGGTTGTTATGATTCTTGGCCATGTGATGCTTCATCAAATATCTGATAATTATCCAGTTATCTACACTTTGATTCGACTTGATCTTATGAATTTTGATACTCTGGTTTGATGTTATGTAGCGTAATTTTTTATAGTTTGTTTGGTTCCTATAGGAGGTAGATCCATCCATGGAGAATGAAGAGGCTCTTGGCACAGATGGAATGGATGGTTTTTTGTCCAATCTAGCTAATGCAATTCTTGGAATTGATGAGGCTATGAGCTTTGCGGAGATGCTCAAGTAAGTAACCATGTTTCATTTGATTGGGTAGCTCTATAAACAGCAAATCTCTTAGGTCCCAATCATTTGTTTCATATTTAGATCTGGATTGAATGGTATATTAACAATGCATATAAGGTGTTTGAAAAAATGCATGTGAGAGATAGAAATTGGTAGTGGTAGCTATTGGGGTGGTGGGTTTTAATTGATTCTGGAAGGTGTAATTTGGTCAATTAATTTTTTATTTATTGTTTAAAAGTACTAAAATAAACTTTAAAGGATAGAATTTTTATTTTTATTTAAACTTTGACGACATTATTAATTTTTTTGCATTTAACTAATATTGATTAAGATAAGATTGTAAGTTTAAAAAAATCATGTTGTCCTTTATCAATGTTTGGATTTTTAGGTGTTTGGACATGGAATTGAAGAGTTACACTTTGAGATTGATACATGTTTAGGAATCTATTATGTTTTTCCTGTGTATAATACAAATATTACAAATAGTCAAATAATTTTTAGAAATAAAGAAATTGGACCAACCTTATCAACCATGACAGTTGACAGTGATCACTTACCAATCCTCCTTTACTTCTTTAACTCCAATGACACAAACCAAGTCAAAGAAAACAATCTCAAAAGAAAGAAAATAAAATTGTATGGGAAAATTACACATACCTCACTTGACAATTATAGTAAGTAACCATGTTTCATTGATTGGGTAGCTCTATAAACAACAAATCTCTCAGGTCCTCATCATTTGTTTCATATTTAGATCTGGATTGAATGGTATATTAACAATGCATGTAAGGTGTTTGAAAAAATGCATGTGAGAGATAGAAATTGGTAGTGGTGGCTATTGGGGTGGTGGGTTTTAATTGGTTCTGGAAGGTGTAATTTGGTCAATTGATTTTTTATTTATTGTTTAAAAGTACTAAAATAAACTTTAAAGGATAAAATTTTTATTTTTATTTAAACTTTGACGACATTATTAATTTTTTTGCATTTAACTAATATTGATTAACATAAGATTGTAAGTTTAAAAAAATCATGTTGTCCCTTATCAATGTTTGGATTTTTAGGTGTTTGGACATGGAATTGAAGAGTTACACTTTGAGATTGATACATGTTTAGGAATCTCTATTATGTTTTTCCCGTGTATGATACAAATATTACAAATAGTTAAATAATTTTTAGAAATAAAGAAATTAGACCAACCTTATCAACCATGACAGTTGACAGTGATCACTTACCAATCCTCCTTTACTTCTTTAACTCCAATGACACAAACCAAGTCAAAGAAAACAATCTCAAAAGAAAGAAAATAAAATTGTATGGGCAAATTACACATAACTCACTTGACAATTATGCTCAAGTAAGTAACCATGTTTCATTTGATTTGGTAGCACTATAAACAGCAAATCTCTCAGGTCCCAATCATTTGTTTCATATTTAGATCTGGATTGAATCGTATATTAACAATGCATATAAGGTGTTTGAAAAAATGCATGTGAGAGATAGAAATTGATAGTGGTGGCTATTGGGGTGGTGGGTTTTAATTGGCTTTGGAAGGTGTAATTTGGTCAATTAATTTTTTATTTATTGTTTAAAAGTACTAAAATAAACTTTAAAGGATAAAATTTTTATTTTTATTTAAACTTTGACGACATTATTAATTTTTTTGCATTTAACTAATATTGATTAACATAAGATTGTAAGTGTACACTATAATTAAGCTTTTAGCAAAATTTGTTATAATGTTTTACATCAATCGTCTTTTCTTTCTTTCTTTTTTTTTTTTAATTATAAGCAGAGGTCCATAAAATATCAAAAAATGGTTCTTTCTATCGACTCTACGCTCGAGCGTAGAAAGCCCCGCTCGAGCGTAAGACACAGAATCGTGCTCGAGCGTGAAGAAAGCCGCTCGAGCGTCGATTGCACCCTTTCAGAAGTTTTGCAGGCGCTGCACCCGCTCGAGCGTCAAACTCCCCGCTCGAGCGGAGGAACAAAACAAGGGATCACGCTCGAGCGTAAAAACTACCGCTCGAGCGGAAGAACTGCAGAGCAAAATACTGGGAGATGGAAAATCCCGCTCGAGCGTCAAAACTCCCGCTCGAGCGGAGAAGCAACAACGAAGGGCCCGCTCGAGCGTTAAAACCTCCGCTCGAGCGTGAAGGCCAAAATCTGGGCATCACCTATTGGCATCAAAATTCAACCAACCTGTACCAGACCCGTCCAACACAACCTATACTTCAAATACAAAGAGATTAAAGGACAACAACAACCAATAAAAAAAAATGACAGGATCTACGGAGCCTAAGTCTGGATACAATAATCTAAAGAGAAAAGACCGGGGTCGCTATAGAAAACAATCTCAAAAGAAAGAAAATAAAATTGTATGGGCAAATTACACATAACTCACTTGACAATTATGCTCAAGTAAGTAACCATGTTTCATTTGATTTGGTAGCTCTATAAACAGCAAATCTCTCAGGTCCCAATCATTTGTTTCATATTTAGATCTGGATTGAATCGTATATTAACAATGCATATAAGGTGTTTGAAAAAATGCATGTGAGAGATAGAAATTGATAGTGGTGGCTATTGGGGTGGTGGGTTTTAATTGGCTTTAGAAGGTGTAATTTGGTCAATTAATTTTTTATTTATTGTTTAAAAGTACTAAAATAAACTTTAAAGGATAAAATTTTTATTTTTATTTAAACTTTGACGACATTATTAATTTTTTTTGCATTTATCTAATATTGATTAACATAAGATTGTAATTTTAAAAAAATCATGTTGTCCCTTATCAATGTTTGGATTTTTAGGTGTTTGGACATGGAATTGAAGAGTTACGCTTTGAGATTGATACATGTTTAGGAATCTATTATGTTTTTCCTGTGTGTAATACAAATATTACAAATAGCCAAATAATTTTTAGAAATAAAGAAATTGGACCAACCTTATCAACCATGACAGTTGACAGTGATCACTTACCAATCCTCCTTTCCTTCTTTAACTCCAATGACACAAACCAAGTCAAAGAAAACAATCTCAAAAGAAAGAAAATAAAATTGTATGGGCAAATTACACATATCTCACTTGACAATTATCCTTTCACCTTTTTTCCTTTGTTGTTTTATTATTGATTTTGAGAGAAACTGTGTTTGATGAAATGGTTGAGAGTTACACTGTGTAATATGTTATTTTGATAAGTTATTATTAGGGTATGCCCGTGCTTGAAGGCACGATGAAAATATTATTGGAATGAAAATGTAATTGGAATGATTTTATGATTTTAAACAAACAATAAAATGTAAGTCTCACAACACGGAAACATATAATAAAAATCAGACGAAATATGCCAGCCAATGCATATAAGGTGTTTGAAAAAATGCATATGAGAGATAGAAATTGGTAGTGGTGGCTATTGGAATGGTGGGTTTTAATTGGTTTTGGAAAGTGCAATTTGGTCAATTAATTTTGTATTTATTGTTTAAAAGTACTAAAATAAACTTTGAAGGATAAAATTTTTATTTTGATTTAAACTTTGATGACATTATTAATTTTTTTTGAATGATTTTATGATTTTAAACAAACAATAAAATGTAAGTCTCACAACACGGAAACATATAATAAAAATCAGACGAAATATGCCAGCCAATGCATATAAGGTGTTTGAAAAAATGCATATGAGAGATAGAAATTGGTAGTGGTGGCTATTGGAATGGTGGGTTTTAACTGGTTCTGGAAAGTGCAATTTGGTCAATTAATTTTGTATTTATTGTTTAAAAGTACTAAAATAAACTTTGAAGGATAAATTTTTTTTTTTGATTTAAACTTTGATGACATTATTAATTTTTTTTTACATTTATCTAATATTGATTAACATAAGATTGTAAGTGTACACTATAATTAAGCTTTTAGCAAAATTTGTTATAATGTTTTATATCAATCGTCTTTTTTTTTTCTTTTTTTTTAATTATAAGCAGAGGTCCATAAAATATCAAAAAATGGTACTTTCTATTTGGGACACCATGTGACACATCATAAACCAATCACAAATCATCATGCCTTTTGTTGTCCCTTATCACCTAACAAAAAAATCATGGGTTCTACCTTCTTTACTAAGCCATGCAATAACACATGGCTGTGCCTTTGAGACACGAGACAATTGTTCTAAAATATCCTTAAATTGTTTTGACTATCTTAATGTGTCATTGAAATGAAAATCAATGGTTGGACCTAGGATGAAACAACAAGCTATATCAAAAAGAAATTGCATAGTAAAAAAAATTACACGTGTGAATGTTTTTATACACAGGAAAACATAATAGATTTGTATTATACACAGTTTGTTATCCTTACTATTCAAGATTTTAGCATTCCCATGCGTAAATAGTTTGCGTTGCCTCTTAGCTTTTGTCGCCAATAGTTTGTTTGGATTTTATTGAGTGTCAACTCTTTTTTAAAAAAAATTACACGTGTGAATGTTTCTATACACAGGAAAACATAATAGATTGTATTATACACAGTTTGTTATCCTTACTATTCAAGATTTTAGCATTCCCATGCGTAAATAGTTTGCGTTGCCTCTTAGCTTTTGTCACCAATAGTTTGTTTGGATTTTATTAAGTGTCAACTCTTTTTTGGTTAGTGCTTTGATTGGTTATTGTTTGGATGCAATATAGGACTGCTCTAAATCATAAAACAAGGCGCTTGATTTCTGCAAATTGGTCATCAGGTCATATTAAATTAGAACATATTTAATAGAAGCTGTGTTTGGATTTTTAGGTGTTTGGACAACTGGACAATGGATTTTATCAATTGCATATGACTAAAAACACCCTTGAATAAAATATGAATGAAAGCTATGAGTTTTTTTTTGTTCCTTCCCTTCAATAAAATTTTTTCCTTTAAATATTTAGTTTATACTTGAGACTTCAGCTCATTTCCCTCTTTAGTATGTATGGGATTACAAGATATTCTTTTGTTCCTGTGATTACAAGATATCTTTTCTTTTTCTTTTTTCTTTTCCTCCTATTTTTATGTGAAGGGCTACCTTTTTTTTTCTTTTTTTTTTTTTCCTATTTCTTAATCTCAGAGAATGTTAAGAAGTTGAGATATTCAAAATTGAATTTGAAACTCTCACACTCAGATTTTAGTTGGTTTTCCTGAAGGGAAAGCATTAATTGCTATAATTGAGAAGACCCATAGCGGTAATGAATCCATACTGATCGGCTTTCCAATTGATACATTTGTTAAGCTTGCTCATTTTCGTTGTTATTTTTTCTCATTTGACAATGCCATTGTCTATTAAAAAGAGAAACTCTTGTGTGATAGTGTTTGTCCACTATCAATACACCATTGCAATAGTTCAATTTTGCAGACAAGTGGAGTGAGATCAACCCAGGACACTAAGCTAGGATAAGTTCTATGGTAATTTCTACTAATACACCATTGTTGAGGGATTTTAATCTCTACTTTGTTCATTCTATTTCATGTGATATTTGTTATCTCTACTTTGTTCGTTGTTATTTATTTATTTGTTATTTCTTCACAATAGGATGGAGTCACTTGCTTGAAGTCAATTTAACTTTTATTTTTATTTTTTTTAGATTGCTTAGCACTAGCTGGTGTGCATTGTTTACTATTTATTTTAAATTTAGTTTTTTGGTATTGTAGAGCCATGACTGGTGTGCATTGTTTGTTATATATATTTTGAATTCAATTTTTCTAGATTGCAGAGCATTGGCTGGTGTGCTTCATTTGGTGTTTAATAATTTTTTGGTATTGCAAAGCACTGGTTGATGTGCATTGTTTATTGTTTATTTTTAATTTCTAAATGGCTGGTATTATTTGGTAACGAGTGAATAATGAAACAAATATATATACCTGTGCTTAGGGGTTGTTATCTTTAATTGAGCTTTGTAGAGTGTGTGGTACCAACAAAATTGCAGAGTGTGGGTTTTAAAAACAATATTTCTTTATATTTCTCAATGTCTTTAGTTTTTTGTATGTTTTTCAATAAATTACATTTGTATTCAACTACATTTTGATCTCAATATTATTTACATCATGTCATTACGCACGAGCATATTTTTATTTTGTTCTTTACATACCTCTTATTCTTCCATTTGTATTTTGTTTATGTACCTGCTCGTCTCAACTTTATTGTAACCCTCTCTTTGAAATTAATTTATATATTTTATTATCCGATTTACTACTAAAATTGTTATAAGTTGTTTACGAAGAGTAATATTTCTTTATATTTTTTTAGTGTCTTTATCAAAAAATCAAAAAATGATACAAACTCTAAAGTAGGTTGTATGTTATAAGTATGTTAGGAGATTGTTAATTTTGTTTTTTATAATTTTTTTTATGGCAATTATTAAACCTCATTTTGCCTTCTTGTAACGAGTGAATAATGAAACAAATATATATACCTGTGCTTAGGGGTTGTTATCTTTAATTGAGCTTTGTAGAGTGTGTGGTACCAACAAAATTGCAGAGTGTGGGTTTTAAAAACAATATTTCTTTATATTTCTCAATGTCTTTAGTTTTTTGTATGTTTTTCAATAAATTACATTTGTATTCAACTACATTTTGATCTCAATATTATTTATATCGTGTCATTATGCACCAGCATACTTTTTATTTTGTACTTTACATACCTCTTATTCTTCCCTTTGTATTTTGTTTATGTACCTGCTCTTCTCATCTTCATTGTAACCCTCTCTTTGAAATTAATTTTTATATTTTATTATCCGATTTGCTACTAAAATTGTTATAAGTTGTTTAAGAAGAGTAATATTTCTTTATATTTTTTTAGTGTCTTTATCAAAAAATCAAAAAATGATACAAACTCTAAAGTAGGTTGTATGCTATAAGTATGTTAGGAGATTGTTAATTTTGTGTCGATTAATTTTTTTTATGGCAATTATTAAACCTCATTTTGCCTTCTTACAGTTATCTTTTTCAAATTTACATAACTAGGCACTTTCAGGTTGAGACACTTTTGACCTTTAACTTCTAATTATGGACAATATTACTATTTTTGATCACGTAAGTTGTTTTATTTTTAATTTATTTGAAAAAAAAATACACCTTTCTTATAAGTCTAAGTCAATTTTCTTTTCTTTTCTTTTCATTATGTTTTATCTAATTTTCTTATAACAAAATGCTCTTTTCTTATATTTTACAGATGGATGGTGACCTACGTCAAATTGTAATATCGACTCCTTTTACTCATTTTCTTGCATGCATACATTTTTTAATTTTTTTTACCTCTAATTCTTTTGTATTTATAGGTTCAATTTCTTGAAGAAAGAAATGCTAATGTTGTCATCCGTGATGAGCATGACCTTAATGTCATCCGGGTTTGAGAGGTAGGCCCAATTTAATTATATAGAAATTTTTAAACTTTTTAAATATATATATTTTTATTGCACACACCAGTGTTTAGTCATGGACAACTGTACGTGGCTCTATCTAGATGCACATCTTTTGATCGTACAAGTGTCTTCCTTCCCAACGATGAGCTAGATTCTACTACAAACATTGTTTATCCTGAAATTTGTTATAGTGTTACTTATGGATCAAATCACTTTTGTCAAAAGGTACAATTTATTTATTGACAAATTTGCTTCTATTGATTACAAATTATTATTTTAATTTTTTTTGCTATATATGTTGACTTTTGTAGGATTGGGTTAAAAAACATATGGACCTCAAAAAGATAAATACAATTAGATTGCGTTGATGGGGATGTAGCAAGGTAATTTCAATTTAAAAGTGTTTTGATATTTATATAGATTTTCTTCTACTAATAAACTAACTTTTTTATTTTCATAAATTACTAAATTGTCGTGCATGCTTCTCATTGGAGATATATAGAAGGTGAAACAAATACTTTTTGAAAAGTGATGAGGCGCACTTAGGAATTCTAAGAAAGAACAAGTTTGAAGATCATGTTTATTTTTGTAAAAAGCGTACATATGCTAGCTACGATCTAGATTTTGTAAAGTTTCATATCGATGTAAATTTTAGTTTTGTAAAGCCTTTCATCTATGTGCAATTTATAACTAAGTTTAGATGTATGTTATATAATATTCATTTGAATTATTCACTTGATGTTATAGTCTTTTTTTCTTTTTTCTTTTTTCTTCCTAATATGCTCTTGAATTAGGTTAAAGAAAACTTCATGTTTTTTTTCGATTGAATTTGATTTTTATCAGGAAGGGTGTTGCTTTTAATATAGGATTGGATTGTGTATGTATTAATCTTTTAAAATAATTGTTTATTGCACAATTTTTTATAATTTTTTTTTTTGAATTGCAATGTACGGTTGGTGTGCTTAATTTGTCATTTTTTTTCTATTGTGGAGCACTGATTGGCCTGCTTAATTTGTTATTTGTCCTTTTTTTGTATTATAGAATATTGGTTGATGTGCTTAATTTATTATTTGGCATTTTCTTTATATTGTTGAGCATTGACTAGTGTGCTTAATTTATTGTTTATTTTTTTCTATTGTAGAGTACTGACTGGCGTATTTCGTTTGATTTTTATTATATGTTTGTGTTGTGGGACTTACATTTTATTGTTTGCTTAAAATTATAAAATCATTCCAATTACATTTTCATTCCAATAATATTTTCACCGTGCCTTCAGGCACGGGCATACCCTAGTATATATATGTGTTTGGACTTAGTTCTATGATCTGGACTGAAAGATATTGTTCATGATTTTATTTTGCCACTTCAAATCGTGTTTTTTTATCAGTTTTTTTGTATATATCATTTATACATAAAAAAAATAATAAATTTAATATTTATAACTTATTCAATTTATTACATTTGTTTATAAAAAAATAACTAACAATTGAGTTTTTAAAAATAGACTATCTATTTTCTAATAACAAGATACTTTGGAGGTATAAAATAACTTTTTGTTTTGCAATTGCAAAAAAATACATGTTTTTTTTTCCTTTTTATTTATCTTTAGTGATTTAAAAAATTCATATCAATATGTCTTACTTTCTGTTTGGTTCTAATCGAAAAGAATCTGTACAGTAAAATTAAAGATAAAAATGATAAATAATAAGTAAAAGGCCAACCCTTTTGTTAATGGTTACTTTTTAATTTGTCTAATCTAATAGAATCCTAAATGAGTTTTTTTTTTTAATAAATATAATTAGAAAAATTAAACATAAAAGAAATAAGCTAACCATAAGTTAATTTTTTTTTTTCTCTAAAGTTTGACTTTAGTAACAAACCAAATCTTAATTTTTTAATTATTAAAATTTAAACCTTGAATTTTTAAAGTGTTTTCAGTTTAAGATTCTTGATATTAAGATTTTAAACGATAAAAGACACGCAATATTTTCATAGTAGTTGAGGTCCCTCAACATTTTTACAGAGAAGTTTCAGCTCCTCGAAAAGAAATTTTACCTTGTTACAAATAAATTTGTCATAGAGAAATTTAAAATTTCTTTGTGACGAGTTGAAATTTCTTTAATAATATTATTGAGGAACCTTAACTAATAAGAAAAAATATATTGAACCTCTCTTACTACCAAAAGTTAGAGAGAGATATTTCACTAATATTTCAATTTTTAAAATGGTATCAATTTTAGTTATTCGTTTATATCTATTCATTATATATACATATATATATATTAGGTTTATAACTAATGGAGAAGGGACAATTTAGATAATTTAACTAGTTTTTTTTTTTTTTCATTTATGTTAACAACCACTTTTCACTCTTATCATCGTCCATCACCATCCCTCCTCTTCTCCAATCCATTGCCATCGCTTTTACGTTAGTTCTTTCATTCTGTAGCTTATTACCAAACCTTTCATTTTTCCCTTAATCCATAGTCATTGTTGTCGTCTAATGCTACCGACGAAAAGTGATTAAATTATTTAAATGGTTCATATTCCGTTCGTTATAACTAATAGATTGTTAGAACCATTTTAAAGGTTTAGAGTTTAAATTCTAACAATTAAAAAGTTAAGGATTAATTTATTACTAGATTCAAACCTTAAATTATTATTATTATTTTTTTGTAATATCTCCCACTATTTTTTTTTTTAAATACTAGAAGTGCGATTGTACCAAGTTTTACTAACCAAACAAGGAGTCTTTAATTTGGAAATGTGTTTTTTCAATGATTTTTTTGACTAAAATATGATGTGAAAATAATAAATATGTTTGAAAATAATTTTTAATTTTTTACGTGAAAATGTGTAAAAAATAATGTGAATGAGAAATATTCTTTTAATTTTGTTGTATGATTTTTTTTTTAATAACTTTTTACCCATTTGGCTTGATTAGACTGTTAATTCCTTTAATAATGTTTTGCCTTAATAAAAATAAAAGGTTGAGACTTTTCTCCAATCCACTTGAAATTGAAAGGTGTTGTTGGACTTTGTGGGGGTATATTATGGGCACATTGTCGTATGTCATAATTTTTACGTGAAAATTGATTAGAATTGACTTGTAATGTTGGACTAAACATTAGAAGTGACCTAGAGGCTACTCGACTCAATATTTGTGCTAATGTGACCTTTAACTAATTATTAAAAATTGTCTTTATCAATTCTTGACCAGTATGAGCTAGCTTGGGAGTTTCACTATTGAATTAAATAGTAAAAATTAGCCAACAAAATCTAATTTGAATCAGTTTTTTAACAACTCGTACTTTAAGCCTATAATGTATCATATTTTATTAACTCAATATGATTAAAAAATAATAATCTTAATATTTACAGTATTTTTTATCAATCAATAAAAAAAATTCCAAATATTAAAAGAATTAAATTTGAACAAATTCTAAAATAAAATTTTATTTTAAAACTTTAAGACCTACATATTTTATTTGACTCTATAACTAATTTTTTTAGATAGTGACTAAAACAAACTTCAATCATTATTATATGAAGAGACATGTGTGATAAGAGTTTATAATACACAATTTTAAAAAGTAATATTAATTCAAAATTTTCACTATAGAAAATATGTATCTAACTTTATGTTATGTTTGATTCATGGATTCAGGTAGAATTTGGAATGATAAAAGAAAAAGATAAGTGAAATTTGAATGAAATATAACAACATTTTACCTAATTTCACACACATTTTCATTTTTCATTTCAAAATTGCCATCCAAAATCATGAACCAAATACATCATCAATGTTCAAGAGGAGTTTTGGATCCTTTATTGTATTAATATACAGTGTGTGGGTGAAAATCTGACCACACTGCCCGTTTAGTGATCAGCTGGAGAGCACAAGCAGAATAGATGGCTTGAGTAACCTGAAACAGAAAGAAGTATCTAAAAAAACCTATATAATATTTGGTAAGAGAAACAAATTCTTAAAATAGATCATCAATCATATTATAAAAGAATAAATGCTAGCCAATAATTTTTTTTTAATTATTTAAAAAATTAAACATCAAGATAAATAATCTATGGATGTGATAACCCAACCCGTATTATGCTTAATTATACACGTGTTTATGTGTTTAATATGAATTTGCAAGTTATGTATGTGAATTATGTGATTTTAGATTTTATATCTGTTGAATGTAGGAAAATCTGTTGCAATTAAAAATTGAAAGTCTTAGAGGCACGATAAACAAAACCGACTTCATATCTATGATTAGCATGATTTTTAGAGCCTACGGTAAAATTTTGTAAAATTACGATTTGTAATGTTAGCCTATATTATATATCTCTCTCTAGTTCTTGAGTTCATCATTTTGGGAGAGCTTTGCTAGAAGGTGAGTTAGAGAGAGAAGAAAAGGAAAAGCTAGAGATTTGGTGGAGATTCAAAGGGGAAACTCTAGATTGAAGCTAAGGTATGAGAATTTACTTAGAATCTTTGTCTTTAACTCATATTTGGCATGGAATCAAGAGGGAATTGGAAACTTTGAGCTAGGGTTTTCGGTTATATAATGGGTTGAACTAAATACAAGAAATCTCTTTATATTTGTTTGTTTTAAGTCCAATCTTATGATTGATGTATGAAATGAGCTCTAGATTGTGCATATAGCATAGATTTGTTGAAGGATCATCCATGTTTTTATGTATTTAAGCTTTATTATGAAATTTATGAAGTTACGAAAAATGTGAGACCTTGATTTTGTTATTGAAGCAAGATTGATGTGTATGATATGTCATTACCCTTGAATCATCCTAGTATAACATGTTTTTGGATTAGCTTTGCTTGAATTTGGGGTTGGATATGAGTTTGGAGGGTTTCATTTTCGCCATTTTCGGACTATCTAAGTTTGCCCAAACCGCACGAGCGGCCACGAGCACCGCACGAGCGAAACATGAAAGAAAAAGAATTTTTGATTTTGCTCCTTGGGTGCTCGAGCTGCCGGATTTTCCACTCAAGCGAATTTGGGCCGCACGAGCGGTAAAATTGGGCACACGTGCGGCCAACCCTATTTCAGCTTATACTTGGTAACTTCAAATAAACATATCTCCCTCATCCGGACTCCGTTTTAAACGATTCTTGAGCCTAAATTCAAGCCCCGGAAGTGTAGTTTCCAATGGTGGTGGTCTCACATCCAAATTCTAAGTACACAAATAGATATGCTCAAATTAGTGAAGGCAGTTTATTTTCCTTTAACTGTTTCATGCCATTTTCTACCCTAACTTAGTTCCCTTTCGCTTCTAGCTATTTCCTTGAACCTTAAATATGTAAACATGATATTTTCAATATAAAACATATGAGATTGTTATAGGAAACCTTAAGTTTGTTGGACAATCTTCACTGTATTTAAATAGATTAAATTCTGTTGTGTACTAAACAACAACGAGAATATAAAGAAATAAAGGAAATGAGATAATTTGTTTGATTACAAAATCAAACTAGAAATAAATAAATAATAAATAAATAAATAACAGATTTTATTTTGTTACAAAAATAAAATTAAAATCTGATTTAATAAACAAATAAAACAGAATAATAAATTAAACAACTTACTTGATTAATTTCTTCTAATAAATATCTGATCAAGTTCAGTGTTTGACACTGTGTCCTTAAGTCAGATTCATCCTCTCCACGGTGCTTTCAGAATGTGGACGTCTATCTCCCAGGATGAAATGATCAACTACAAACAATAGCAGCACTACAAATTGATTGCCTAATGAACACACTAAATGTTTATACTCTTTCTCACAAAAATTAAATGCAGCAAAATGAAGAATAAATTTGCAGAGGTGAAGTATGA